TCGGCCCCGTATTCTCCTTGACTACTCAAGGGCTATCGGTACCAACCAAAGTGTCACATCAATGTAGTTATTGCTTCAACCGTGTCGGTATACCCCGCACAATTTCCACAGTCTATTGCTACTTACCTAAAAGGTGCCCCAGATCCAGGTGTAGGATCTATTGTACCAACCCAAACAAGCCCTCAAAAGAAAAGCATATAAAGCATACAAGGTAAAGTATTTTAAAATGAACTAGACTATAAGGTAACCCCAATTTTTATAATATCCCCAGCAGAGTCGCCAATTCTGTGATACGGTGGCAGAACCGACTGTTAATACTGGTTTTGTGTTTGGGTTTGCAAATGTTGCGGTAAGCAAGAGTCGCCGCCGACTTTTCTTTTATCCAAATTAAGGAAAGGGTGAAAAGAACAGAAAAAGACCTTTTCGAGAATTTTCTGAGTAAGGGGGTAGATTATGGAAAGGGAAGGTGTTATCACCCTTTCCATCCGTAGTTTTCTATGGGCTCTTCGATGCAAGCTCATTTTTTTTAAATACATTTGTGCTTTGTGTGTTTTGAAAATTTGTTTTGAAAATGCCTTAGTCCGACGATTCAGCTTGTGTTAACTCTTGTATCAGTCCTCAAGAGTGTTGACAAATCAAATGTTTTTGAAAGTTGTTTTTGAAAGTTGTTTTTGAAATGTGTAAGTGTAAAAGTTTGTTTTATTTGAGCAAACATCTAATAACTACCTACTTGTACTCGAAAAGGTTGTTCTTTTTTTCCTATCCTTTAGGCAGTGCTATCCTACTATTAGTGAGTAGGTAGCCCTATCATTGGATGTATGAGGGGCATTCGAAGGGACGTTATGGTCACGAAGGCAACTTGGCAAGGAATTTTAGTAACTGTCCTAAAGTTATAAGATCACTTTTAACTAAGGCAACATTGAGAGGGTCATCGAGGGACTCGTGATCTTTCAAACTAGAGGACAACCATTAAAACTTCTCACGTTTTGAGAATTGTGACCGTTTTCCGAACGCAACCGAAGTGGGATACCCTATAGGTGCGTATGTGCAATTGTGCTTAGTTTAAGTATTTATCTTGCGCATTTAGGTTTGCTAAAGTTTTTTGTTTTCAGTCTTTTCATACAAGTCTCGTTACTAACATTTAATATCTTGCATAAATTTAAAGTGCGGGAATTGTAAATCATACGCTATTACAATGTTTCAGGGAGGACGTATTTACATGTCCAAATCTTGGGAGTGCAGAAATTAAAAGTAGAAAGTAAAGCCTAATTACTATTATATCCCATAAGCAGTTACATTATTATAAAAAAATGAGAGAATAAAATAAATGCGCACGAAATAGAGACGAACGTCTAAAACCCTAAGAAATTGCCAAGTAAACAAAAAAATCTTTTTTTTTGTTTATTTTAAGAAAATAATTAAATTAAAATAACTCTAAATTTAATTAAGATAATAAATATTAAATGGGATTAAACCTAATTCTAATATTTTTGTGTTTTTTATTAAGAAAATATTTGGGTTAAATAAACCTAAGTCTAATTGATTTTAAATTGATAAAATCAAAATCAAAATAATTAGTTAAATTAAATTACAAAATTAAAAATTAATTTTAGAAAAAATCCTAAGTCTTATTATTATTATATTTCTTATTTTATTTTATGATTTGATAAAAAAAGATTTTAAAAGTAAAATAAAAAACAAATAAAAAAAGCTAAAAAGAAGAATAGAAAAAAAACATAAAACTGGGCCTGAAATCAAAAGTAAATGGGGGGTGCTGAAATTGAATTTCGTTGGGCCCAATAGAGAGCCCATACCTACTTTTGGATCCAGTGAGGACGATTCTTGATGGCACATGGTGATCTGCGCGTTAAAGCCCTTGGATTTAGATCCGTCAGGATCTAGTGGTTATGATCTGAAAGCTATAATTGCGTTGAACCTGTATAGCCCATGCGTATTGGATATGTATTGAACAATTGTTAGAAAACAAAATGTTGGACCTGGGATTTGAACCCACGTCCTCTCCCTTCACACAAACGTGCCTTGCCAGCTGAGCTACTATGTCATTCCTTACATCAAATACAATAATAAAATAATATACAATGAAATGTCAATATTGGAGAAATAAAAAAAAACGTGCGTGCTGTTTGAATGGCCCAATGGGAAGCTGCCACGCTTCATGTTCTTCCTTGTTACGTCGTCTTAGGTATTGAGACCTATAGTGACAGTTTTTTTGTCTGTCACTATAGCACCTGCACTCAACAAAATCTACAATACGCAACATAAATTCAATGTGAGGCCATAGATCAATTGGCCTCGACCTCCTGAGCATGATGGTACCTGTTGTACCCCAAATTTTGACCTAAGATACCGTCTTCCATCTGCATCATTCGCATTGCAAGAGTTTTGACCTATTTTATCAAATTTTCAAAGCAGTTTAAAAATTCATAACTTTTTCGAGTCGGGAGCTGTTTATTTGTTGAACGCTAAATTTATTAACTGATCAAGATTTAAATGACGTTTATTAATTATTTATTATCTTAAATTTAAATAATTGGAATCTATTTTTCAATTGTTATATAATTTAAAGACTTATGAATAATGAAATAAGCATTTGAGAATGAGTTTATTAATTGGTCAACAATGATTATTTAATTCTTTATCATTTTAGATTAAATAATTAAAATTCTATTTTTAATTATTATAATTTGGAATTTTACGAATAATGAATTAAATAGTTGAATTTGTTGATTAGTCAATGATGTTTATTTATTTGTTTGTCATTCTGAATTTAAATGATTGGATTTGATTTTCAATCATTATATGATTTAAGGAATTATAAACAATAAATAAATAATTGGAAAGAAAAGGAATTAATTGGGAAATAATAGAATTTTTATTCACTTTATTCTATTTATCACAATTGTTGTTTAAATACTATTGTACAAAGTATTTATAATAACCATTACATAAATGCTTAAAGTAAAATAAAACTATTTTTCCTAAATTCTAATTCTAATCTTCAATCCAATGCTCTTGTTTGCTCATTTAATTTTACCTGCGAAAATAATTAAAAGAAAGTCAGAATTGAGTAAATAATTAAAATGCAGAAAATAAATTTAATGTTCATCATTAAAAGCAATGGCCGGAATCAGTTACTTTTTTTTGCAAATCACGGGATTTCTCCCGGTTCACAAAAAAGAGAGGAATTTTTAAATGAATGCACAATTAAAAAATAGCACATTTTCAAAATCAATTGCATTTTTATCAAAAAAAACCCACTGCATATTTCAAATATGCATAAACTCATTTTTTGGTCAAAGCTGCATAAAACATAAAAAACAGCATATGCAAGTTCATAACAACAAGCAACGTTAACCTGCACCACATAGGAGATAACATAGGCTAATGCAAGACAAAAGAAAATGTAATTCCAACAGTATGCAATTTCAAATATTATGCAGTATTAAACAATGTATGCAAGCAACCTATATTTCCTCATTCATCATATTCCAGCCTGTTTGCTTTTTCAGACAGCAGTACAACATATCACATTATGTATCATTTATGTACTTGAGGTAGAGAGAAGAAGAGGTTTAGTTTTTGCAGGTTTTGATTTAAGCATGAATTGGGAATAAAGTCAAAATCACTTGTAGCAGCATATGTGCAGAGCATTAGAAAATAAAATACTAAAAACCTGAGTCACAAAAAAGAGGCAACGGCTATATGGAAAAACCCCTTCAAAAAGGAAGTCTAAGCTTGCATATCTGGATGGAATCATAACCAGCATACTACACCAAACCATCTCTAAGCATTTGCAAACCTGCATACTGCTATCAAAACATAACCTACTGCCAAATCATTTTACATAGCATAAAACCATTAAACCGGCATATTGCAAAAACCTGCATTACTGCTAAACCATTTTGCATAGCATATTGCAAATCACATAAACATCACTGCAAAACTATCCAGTCTAAGCTAGCATATCTCTACACAAGATATCACTTCAAAACTAAGCAAAAGACCAAAACATTCAAAACCTTAGCATTTTTCAACATAACCTGCTACTGCTACCAAGCAAAAAAAACCTTAGCATTTTTCAACATAACCTGCTACTGCTATCCAAAACCATAATCCATTTTTGCAAGTCTTAATCTACAAAACTATCAAAAAACATAGCCCACTGCTACCATCAAAACCATGGCATATCTCTACATAAAACCTACATCAAAACCCATTCAAACCATTTATTCAATAAACCATAACCTGCATACTGTACAAAAAACCATAAAAAAACAGTATAATCCAAAACCACCAAAAAAACCAATTATTCATATTTCCAACCAATTTTTAGACGAAGAAGAAGAGAAGAATTAGTAGCAGAAAGCAAAGAGCGAGGAGTCTTCGGAGCTTACCTGACTTCGCCGGAATTATACCGTCGGACTAGCTCCGACCATGTGAGTTTCTCCAGCTTTTCGCATAAACCTTTATACCGTTGCGTTGCCTTTGTCTCACTTAATAATACTCTCTTTAATTTCCTGAAATCATGCAAAATGGCCATTTAATATCATTGCGAATCATCAATACATCAATCCCTATTTAACACCGGCAACAATTCGTTCGATAAATTTCAAGTTTATTAAATGTTGCAAGACCGATACACAATCACATAAGCACTGTTAATTTTAAGCCAACTTGAAATAATATAGAAATTCACAAACCTTTGTTTAATTGCCCATTCGGACTTTACGATTCATCGCCATCATTATCTCCTTCTGTAATCACACTCTTTAACTTTCAACATCGCTACAGATTTAAATCAAAAACAAAAAACCTTTATTTCATACACAAAAGTATTTTCAATATCAAGAATTATGTGCGAGAAGTAGAAAATTCACAAAAAGAAGTCATGAATTCAACACCATTTTAAGTAACTACGAAGGGTCGTTGTTGATATTTCACTTGCAACCATATTCTTCATTCAACTAATGCATAACTAATCAAGATGGCAGCAACTTTGCCATGCCTTCAAGCTTTACTACGGCTTCCTCCTTCGTCAAGTCTTCAATACATGCCCATTGCAACAATGAAAACAAAAGAGAGAAAATGAGAAGTGTATTAGCAAATATTCACAAATCCAAAACAATTTTTTCAACCATAATCTCAGGCCCAAATAACATTCATTAGCCTAATACTTCTTTTGAAAACAAGAATAGTTATTGGACAGAGGTGGATTTTCGGACTGATTTTGAAGTGAAAAATTAACATCTCAATTATCACATTTGGCGGCCCAAACATAGTTTCAATCTCTGCCCTTTGTTTGTTCATACCCAAACCCCAGATCTAAGAAGTATAAAGCCATTAAATATGCACTGACAAAAAACTGACAGACTGAGAAATCCAGAAAAAAAAACTATAAACAGAAAAGGTTAGAATAACTCACTTGACCGGAGAACCCTTCCTCGCCGAAAAACCTTCATCTTCGCCAGAAACACCATCTGTAACCGAGCCACACCTCTTCTCGACCGCAACTCGCCGCGACCTCCAAAATCTCCTCCGCGCAAGCCTCTCTTCGATTCCTTCATAAACAGCGAAATCACCATCATCTCTGTCATCGAACCGCTCCTCAATTTCCACCACCTTTCATCATCCGTCGAACCATCCTCCAATCGCTATCTCATCGACCAATCTCCAGCGGCGGCCATGGCACCGGCGTTCCTAGGTTTTCTTCGCACCAGCTTTGTTTTTCTCTTCCTGGGTCTGGATCTTTCCACGACCCGCTCCATTTCCCTTAACCATGCTCAATTTTCCTCTTTAACTAAAGCCCATTTCTAATTACTACTCCCACCCCTTGTTCTTTATAGACTCTTTAGTTAATTCTATTCATTTCTTAACTTATTTAATTTAGATTAACTAGTTTTTTAGGAATACACATATGGTTTTAAATAGACAATTTTAATATTTTATCCAAATCTCATTTAATCTAAGTTTAGGTTTATTTAATAACTTTAGTCTTCTTTATTTTAATTAGATATTTGACTTATAAGTTTTATTTAACTTGACAAATATTTAATATCTCTAAAACATGTGAAAGTAAAATGAGAAACTAAAAGACATGTTATTTTCTTTAATTTACTCCCCTCATTTTGATTAAATACCAATATACAAAAAGACATAAAAAATAGAAACATATAAAACCTAAAAAATATTTCTATTAATTCTCGTTACTTTCTTTTTATCCATGTTAAAATGCGTAACCAATTAAAACATTTTTCTCTTCATATATTAAACAAAAAATCTAAAAAATGCATGTTCACATTTAATTGTTGTGTATCATTTTCTGTCAATTATTTCATCGTACTTGATTATCATGTTTGCACCAATCCAAAGGGAATTGTCTAATTTTGTTGACTTCATGTCCTCAAAAACGATCGAGCGAATACTCTCATTCATTAAAAACTTAGGTTAATTTTCCTCAAATATTCGCCTTTCTTCAAAATTTCAACCTTTTTAAGACTTATACCTTTTAAGCCAAAACTTCGACATTAGGTCGTCGCATTTTCAAAAACCCGTCCGTATCCCTTTTTCGGCCAAAACGGTTCATTTTCAATCAAGCAATCAATTTTAAATAAAACAGATATTTCAAAAGGTTCCTATAGAGTACTATAGATGCATTGGGTGCTAATACCTTCCCATTGTATAACCAACCCCCGAACTCTCGATCTCTTTTCAAAAACGCTTTGTATTTGTATTTTTAGTTACATTGCATATTTAGGGTTTTATTTCGCTCTCTTCCCTTTTCCTTTGGAAACAATAAAGCGCGGTGGCGACTCTTGCTTTTGCGAGACGAATTAATCAATAATTCGATCTCCGATTTACCCCGCTACATTTTTTATCGCTACAGTACCCTTAGTTGGGTCTAATTTTGGCTGATTCGAAAAACCCCAATTCAGATTTCCAAACCCTAACCATGGAAAAACGTCATTCCTGCATCAAAACTTCAATCCAACTATATAGGGAGCTTGCAAACACTCAAAAGATTAATAATGCATGGTCAAAACTGATTTATTTTACATGAATCAAGCAAAACGAGTTTGGAAAAAGTTGCAAATCGTGTGAGCTTGATGGGACGTTTCATGATGTTTCATGGCGTGGTAATGATTGCAAAAGCTTCAGGGGACCATCAGGAACGTGTTTGAGTCCTTGGTTTGGATTGAGGATGGCTGGAAATGAAGATGCAAATTTGACAACTTTGATAATTTTGTAAAAATTTGCAGATATTTTTCTGGCTATTTTTCGTGTCCTTTTGACTTACAAGTCTGTTGTATATATAGTGGAGATGGAGAGGACAAGAAAGAAAGGAATGAAACGGTCATAAACATGTTCTTCAAGGCCATGAATGGGAATTTCAAATTTGGCAAAAGACATGGAATTCTTGTCTCTTTTCAAATTTGGATGAACTTGGACATTGTTTGCACTAATTCTTGGGCCCAAGGCTAACCAAAACACTAGCCCAAATGCTCAAAGCCCATTTCCAATTATTTTATACATTTTATTTTATATTTATTTGAATAAAATAAAATAAAAATGTACAAAATAGGTAGAAAATGTAAGGCATGGTAAGAATGATTTTATAGGTCCTCTATAAGCTTAGGAAGATGCTTGAAGTCCAAGAAATTAAGCCATTAACCTAAAACTTCAAGTTTGCTCAATGCCTAATTCTTGAAATTTCCCAGATTTTCCCAACTTGGGCAAGCCATAACTTGCTCAATTTTGAACTCATGATGATGATCTTGGACTTTTTGGAAATCCGAAGGTGTCTACTTCAATCCCTCTTTTAATAAATTTTGCATTTGAAGACTTTATCTTGATTTAAATGGTCTTGATAAAAAGTGTCTTTTGTTGACTTTCTAAAAATGACTTGTAATGTATGAGCTTGTATCTTTCAAATGGTGCATTTCTTGGACTTGATAGATGAAGATAAGATGCAGGGAATGAGATTATCTTCAATATGAGCTTTGGTTGGGGAAAATGGATGAAGTATGTGTAAGTTATGTCTGGTCAAAGTTCAGTTGACTTTTCCTATAGAAACCCTAATTTAGCAATTTTGGACTTTTGATAGATTAGGAGCACTTCTTGAGGAATCATGATCAACCCTTTATCAAATTATTGATATCACTTCAAAATGTTGAGGTTGACCAAAAACCTTGAAGTTTGACTGTATATAGGCCACAATTGACTTTTGACCTAGTATAGTTGATTTTCAAGCATTTGATCAATTGACTGAGCAAAATTGTAGTGCAAGGAATGAAATTTGGCATGGGCAATCTTGAAGACACATTAGGACCATGGAAAAACATTTAAGACCTTTGGAGCTCACACATCTTGATGAAAATTGAAACCCTAATTAGAGGTTCATTGCCTTAGGAAGAGAATTTTCCTGGTCAATTCTTGGTCATCCTTGAGCAATTGGGAACCTCAATGAGCATGTATTGAGTAAAATGGGAGGGAAAGTTTTTGGGGTACAACACCAGGCATGACATGCCTCAAATTATAGAGAAGATATGTATAAACGGATGCACTCCTCCATCTATGTAATTGATATAACTCCTTAATAGTATAAGTCTCAATCATATTGTTTTTTATAACAACAAGTTGTTCCTTGTTGTCCATAAGCTCCATAGTATCATCCTTCCATTCAACAAGATTCCCAATCAGTTGTTTACAACTACCAAGGTCCTTGTACCAGTCATGCTAAATAAGATATCTGAAAGAATTCAGATCTTTGTTATGAAATATCACAGTGTCTCTCTTGACATCATACCTCTTCATCATTTGTTTAGAGAAACTTCCTCTTGTTTCCCTCAAGGTAACACATCCATCTGTATTTGATATCTTTGGTTTAAATTTAATGATGTTACCTTTATCAGGGTGACTTGCAGTTAGATCCTTAAATTGTTCTACATGTCCCTTGGTGGACAGACTCATGCTGGATTGAGACTACTGATTCAGTGTTTCTGAAATCGTAAGTCTCCTCTCCTAGTGCTTAATCAGTTTACACAAAGGATGTTCCAACATCATCTCTGGCATTCTCCTTCTCTTCAACAACGAACTCATCAACTATCATATTCATGAGTCTAATGACATTTCAGTTCTGGAGTTGAAAATTATATAAGTTCTGATTTTTAAGGAGTAACCCATAAAAACCCCTTCATCCCTTATGTGACACCCCAAAATAATTAGATTATTTATTTAATTATTTAGTTGATTTATGGTGAGTATTTGTGAGTATATGTGATGTCTTGATGAATATGATGTGTGATGTGATGCTATGTGTGGTATAGTAGAAATTAAGTAATATTGGGTGTTTTAAATAATTTTAGATGATTAGAGTAATTATTTAGAATTATTTTAATTGGGGAAATAGAGATAATAATATGATGTAGAAACTATAAGGGCAAGGTAGTAAGTTATAAGAGGTTAAGTGAGGGAAAAAGCAGAAGACCATATTATGGGTCCAAGGGGTAAGTTTGACATCAGGAAAGTTTGGGGTTTAGACGCTCATTCTACACGATCGCGCTTGGAGAAGAGACAAAGAAGAGAGCAGACCTAAGGTATTGAGGAACTCAGAGGGATTCTATAGAGTGCAAAGGACAATTGATTGCTTGCTATAATATAAGGTAAGGGGTTATCCTTATTATTATATTTTATATGGGATTTAGGTATTTATAGGTTTGTATTTGGGGTTTTGATTGATGATGATAACATGATGATTTTGTTGGAAATTGGTGAAATTGTAATGTTGCTGCCATAAGTTGATGCATATGATGTCTATTATAATGTTTTGTTATTGTATGATGAAAATAAGAGAATTTGTAATGAATTGGGATATGAACTGATGTAAAATCGTAAGAAAATTCGACATGTATTATGCAGAAAATGCAACAGCGGAGTTGTTGTTTTCGCGCCCTCGTTGGGCGAGCCTCCCAAGTCGATAGGCGAAGCAATTTCACCCAAAGTTCGCCACGCGAGAGTAAGGTGAGAGAGAGGAATTAGTTTTTGGCAAGTTTCTGGAAAATGTATGGAGGAGGTGTCTCGCTCCAGCTTCTCTGGGCAAAGCAGAGGTGAACATGAGGTCGTCGGGCAAATGAAGAAGTCGTCGGGCGAATGAGATGATGGAAAATATGTGCTATTGGAATTTTGTATGGGGGAAGGCGTTTCTCCCCATCCTTGCTGGGCGAGCCTCGGGCGAGCAAATTTTTTCTCCGAGCGATCCTCGGGCGAAGGCCAGCTGATAGAGTTTGTAGAGGTCGTAACTTGAGTTTCTGAACTTTGTTTGACGTGTGTTCGAAGTGTTAGAAACATAATGCAATATACTATACATTTATGAAATAAAATGAATCATATTAGGTATTTCTCCAATGATTGTGCTATGATAAAGTGATGTGGTTATACATTGATGTAACATGATGTATGCTTCTTATGATGAATTGATGTGATCATGCCTTGATGTAATATGATGTATGTTTCCTATGATGAATTGATATTTTTATGATGATGATGATGATGTATTATGAAATATGTGATGATATTATGACGGTTTCATGAATGATGA